ATTCAGAATGAAAAAAGTTCTGAATAAATAAAAGCAAATCCACATAAACTTAGTCTGCACTACACTAAAGACAAAAGGAAAAATGTTAAAAGCTACCACAAAGAAAAGACTGGTAATCTACAAAAGATCGCTGTTTAAATGACAGGAGACTTTGCACTTGCAAGAAAAGAGGCATTAAAATCACATTATAAAACTGCTAAGAGGAAAATAAAAGCATCCTCATCTAAAAGATCAACTGAAAGTCAGTATAACAAAAAAAAATAAAAGTCAAAGACTGAAAGGTTTCCGATTCACAGAACCTTACTAAAATAATTACTAAAAAAATTTTAAAAAGGAAAATACACTTGGAAAGCAATAGTTATGAAACAATAGTGAATAAATAGATTGATTAAAAGGTATTAATAATTTAAAAATCAATAACAAAAATAATAGTAAAGACTAATTTGTGGAATTCAAAAGCAAGGTGGATTATATTACTAAATAGCAATAAAGATGGAGAGTGAGACTGAAATAATTCAGTAAGACTGAATAGATATAGTGGGAGAAGAAGGTTGGGGTGCATAAAATGAGACAGTGAGATAAAAGATTGCCATCGTAGGTTAGGATTATATTTGGATGACCTTACAAGTCAAACTATGGAGGGTGTATTTGATTTAATATGAATTTGGATGGATTTTTGTGGTGATCATTTTTTTTAAGCAGAGAAGTGACGTGTTCAGAAATGTGAAAAGTGGGGCAGCTTAGTGTGGGCAAGCACTCAGGAAGACCAGCTAGGAGGCTCTTGTAGTGAGTGTGATGAGAGGTGTTGAGGATCTGAGTTAGGATCCATCTCTCGTCCACACGTAAACAGGATGGGTGTGAGAAACGTTGCTGGGCTAGGACTTGGAGTAGGTAGTGGAAGCTGGGAGGACAGGAAGGGGAAGCAGTCACTGAACATCCACTTTACCCTCTCTCTTTGTATCAGCCCATCCTAACACCAACATGATGAGATTTGCTTCTTTTTACAGACAAACCAAATGATCCCAGGAAAGAGGCAAGTAATTTGTCCAGTGGTCCTATGTGGTCAATATTAGAACCACAATCTAAATCCAGGTTGTACGACTCCAGCTGCTCTTTGGCCAACACACTAGTGAGATTCCCAGAGAGAACGCTTAGTAGGTAATCATTAAGTTTAATTTGCAACTTAAAAAGTTATGGGATTCAGAATTCATGCTTCTGATTTTGATTGTGAAGAGAAACAGAAAGAAGACCGTAGTGGCAAGAAAGTAGCAATATGAGAAGTTAGTATTTAAATAAGATATCCAGTGCTTTTGAGGGAGGGAAAGACTGAAGAAGGATTGGATAGGATTCGAGATCATAGAGATAACCATCGGGTAAATCATCGAGACAGAAACCGAGGCGGAGAGGCAGAATGCAGGTGAAGGGCGACGTGAAACAAAGAAAAGGCGAGGTGAGCAAGCCAAGTGTGGATGCTGCCTCTTCATGATCCAGAAAAGAGGAATACGGTCCAGCAGGCGAACACAGATCTATCATCCTAGAAAAAGGTAGCAAAAAGGTAGGCAGGAGGTAGGGAGAGAACCTTTCCAGCACACTGGTATTGTGGAGGGAAGGTCGAGAAACAAGAATTGGTTGTCAACTAAATATGTTCTGGATGGAAATCTGCCTCATCTGAATGCTCTTTATACCCTTTATAGATTCTACCAATAGTCTACACTAGGGAGTACAAATATTACAAGGTATTTGTTCTGGGAGCTTTCCACTGACAGTGCCAGGAAGGATGCTAATTAGTGCCCATTGTGAGAGCTGGTGCTGTGATCTGGGCACCTGTCTGCGAGGAGCTGGACTGAGAACAACCCATTCCATATAAGCCTGCGAAGCAGCTGGCAGCTGGCAGGAACATTAATTTACTACCGACTCGGGCCGCATTTGGTGCTGACCCAGACGTTAAAGACCGCCTTTCCTGTCTTTGATTAGTTGAGCCATCCAGTGCCTTCTGTACTATTTTTATTGCAAACAGAAAACATGTCTAAATGTTTTATTCCTCAAGATTGAAGTCAATGTTGTGATGTTTTTGTTTGAGGGGAAGGATCATTAGATCCGCGCAAGTTAGACCCCTTGCAGGCCTGGGGATGCGCTGCCAACATAGTGGATGCAGAGCTGATTGGCAGTGGTCAGACGGAGTTTACCTTGGCAGCCAGTCCTGCACTCGATTCCCAGTGGAGGACCAGCTGAGTCCTCTGCGGCTCGTGATGGGCACTGCCAGCACAGAGCTGCAGACTGAGTGTTAGGACGCGTTTGAGGTTAGACCCTATTCGTTTAATTTCTCTTTAAAACTGTCTTCATGCTGCACCTGCTGACCACTTTCAAGCCCATAAGCTGCACCATCTCTCTAAGTCAGGTGGTTTATTTGTCCCATTCTATTTGATACCAATGTTTTCTAAAGTCTATGCTGATGAGCGAGTTAAGACCGCTTTCCAGTGTGCCTAACTTCATCCTAAGACCTAACATGAGCATAGAAGGAAGTTGCCGTTCATTCATTCATTTAAGTAATTCATTTGTTCACTATATTAAGTCCTCTAGGTGCTGGGAATATAACAGTAAATACAGTAGACAAAGTCTCTTCCTTCTCAAGGCTTATCTTCTACTGGAGGAGACAGAAAAAGGAGTAAGCCAGGAGACAGAGGGCACAACGGCAGGAGAGGCTGGGCCCAATGAGGAGGGTAAGGTGATCAAGGATGACAGGACACCACTTCAGACAGGGAGTCAGCTAGGAGCTCTCTGAGGAAGTGACAAAAAAGCACGTGAGTCTCTTGGGAAGACTCTTCCAGCCCAAAGGAAAAGCACTGCAAAGGCCCTGAGGCAGGCACATACTTACTGTTGTTGAAGAAGAGCTAGAGCACGTGGAGCAGAGGAAACGTGTTAGCAGTCTCCAGGAGCTGGACCACGCAGGGCACATAGGCCAGTGGAGGCGAGAAGCTTCCGGTGTGCGGTAGCTCGTGCTGATTATCTGAGGCTGTGTGGGCTCAATTGAATTAAGAAAATGACTGTTAAAACTTTTTAACCATATAGACATATTTTTCAAATCTTAGAAGAGACATGGTAAACTGAGTCTCCAATGGGTTCAGTTACATAAATAATAATTGAAAAGTTTAAATAAAAACCTAGGCAACCCCGGCTCCGAAGCCCTTTGCATTGTATGACATCGTAAAGGTACAATCTTTAGGCTATAATAATGAATTCACTCTGACAGACTTTTACTGTGCCATGTTCTAAGTCTGTCAGTGAGGCAGGAACCCACTCAGGTTCAGAAAGACTACTAGGGCAGGAAGACATATAAGCAAAGGATTATGATTCAGTGTGATCAAAGGATGTGTGTGTAAGGTAAGAGATAGCACAGGGAACGGGTTGATTAACTCTGTTTAGATGTTTAGAAGAACCAGGACTAAATCTGAGTGCTGTGTAAATGTGAGAAAATATAAGGGAGGTGGGTGGTATATCCAGTACAAAAACACGAAGTTATAGAACACATGACCTGCACGGAAAATTGCAGATCGTTATCAGTAGTGAGAGGCAGGGCTGGAGTTCAGCCGGGCGGTGCGCGTGGTGGTGGCAGATCAGCTGGCTTCTCCCCTGACGGTCAGTGTCCCCCTGATTGGCCGACTCTTAGTCTGTGTGATGGAATATGTTGATGTCACTCTGCAGCCCTGGGATCGCTTCTAAGGAGACAGGCGAGGCTGATGGTTGACGCTTACCCATCCCTCAGGCTGTACTCGTGGTTGACAGCTGCCACGGAGGGGAGCGGGAGAGAATGAAACAGAAAACGGGAAGAAATATACTGCCTAAATATGTTAGATTTTTTAGCTTAACAGTGGAAATGAAGTATGTCTCTGAAGATTTCAACTTTACCAAAATATTTTCAGACCATTTTAGAGACATTTTAAAGTAAAATGCGTTATGTCAAGATAACACTTTTTAAAATATATTTTTTAAGAAAATTTCTAACTTTGGATTAGTTCAGAGGGCTTACCATCCTTTAAAGGATTTATTGGCACATTTCTTAATGAGAAATTGTTCATTGCAATTATTACACTTCAATCTTTTATTTCAATATGTCTCTGTTGTGTTAGTTCTTGATTATTTCAGCATCTTTTTGATGAGTTAATTTTGTCATGACTTTAGCAATGGGAAGATAAAGATTAAACTTTTAGTAAACAGATAAAAATATAATGATCCTTGTTCTGTCTTTACCCTCTCCTACCTGACTATTCTTCCACATCACAGATGCTTTTTCTCCCTTCAACTGAGAGATAAACATATATGATGGTTGACAGCAGATTTCCCCACCATCAAACTAATTTAAGCCTTACATCTCAATGCTTCCTCCTGCTGCTGAAGACCTAGCTGAGAGTTTCTTGTGTTTTTGTAGTTGTTTCTTTTTAAAATAAAGCTAAAGTATCTAGCTTTCAGTCATAGTAGACCTCTAAAGTTTAGAGATATTTTCTTAAGCCAAAATGTCCTGTGACAACTTTCTTTTGCTGCTATATAAAGGTGTGTTTATTTTAAGAAGAAGGCAAAAATGATTAAGCTCAGCTTTTTAATTAAAATGGATATTTTGAAGTGTTTATAATCTCCCATCTCTGATCCCACTTTACTGAGAAATCTCACGTGTCTAACACATGCAAACATATTTTTTATTTTTACTTCAATTAAAAACCTAAATTAATACACACTTTCCCCAGTGTGTTGAATTATGTGTTCTGAGAACTAAAAAAGTCAAGTTCGTCAAGGCTGACAAACTGTGTGCACTCAGTTTTTGCATGCTGGATGTTTGTCCATCTGAGTGTGGGATACACACAATGAACAGTTTTGAAATCCTCCCAAGTATTGCAGGGTTATTTGAAAGTTAATTCTGCAACTTTAAATACATTTGTTTGATGGAGGTTTGTAGAGAAATGGTCATGAAGATTCTGATGTTTATTCTGTTCTCTTGACCATCACAGATCAAAGAACACCTTGCTAAGGGGCAGCGAATGCTGGCAGGAGATGGAATGTCCCAGGTGACCAAGACACTACTGGATTTAACTCAGAGGAAAAATTTCTATGCAGGAGATCTTCTGATGTCTGTGGAAATCCTCAGAAATGTGACGGACACATTTAAAAGGGCAAGTTACATCCCTGCATCTGATGGCGTCCAGGTAAGGGAGACAATCCCGTGAGGGAAAAGACTAGTGAGGATGCAATCAGTGTTTGGCCCTGGAAGCCAGTGCAGTCATCTTGGGGGCAGCCTGGCCTGGAGGGAGAGAGCGCTCCCTCCTGCAGGGGAAACTTCCGGGCTGTGCTTAGTGTGGGCTCTGGAAATGACCTCAGTTCCCTTAGTCATTCCCCCACTCAGTGTCCTCAACCATAGAACGCACAATGCACTGCAAGGAGATACTGAATGGGGATGTGTGTGAAGTATTTTGAGCCCTCAGATGAAAGGCACTATAGAAAATTCAAGGCTGTATCATGGATATTTTATCCCATGTTTAATATCACCATCTTGCCATAGGAGACCATTAAGAATACATTACACATAATGAAAGCGCATTAACCATAACATGCAAAGAAGACACAGTTTAAGTTTTGTTTGGGGTTTTGCTATTAGAAGAGGGAAGGCTATATTTAATTTTGTGCAACCAGTGCCTGAAAATATCAGGCGAATCGAGAACTGTCTGGATAGGAAACTAAGAAATTCAACAACTCCTCACAGCGTATTTTTCTTGTCATGGAGACTTCTAGAGCAGCATCATTTATTTCCATAATCAAGTTTAAGTCCTCACCAAATTTCAGTATTGGCTTTGCCATTAAAACAAAGCTTGTTGAATGGCAAACGAGGCATATTTAATGCAGCTCTAGCTTGCATTTCAGATTAACTCTTTTCATGCTGTAGGCTAGAATGTACTCCTCCAAGAATGCTGGGTTGATTTCTGCATTTCCAGCCTGCTGTTCTTCCTGTATCTCTTCATAAAGTTCATTAAGATAAAGGTTTGGCAAGACTCCCAGATCAGGTAGTTTTCTTTCAGGCTACTCTTCATTTGTGAGTTTTATTTGCATTTCACGTGGAGAACGCAGAGGGTGTTGGCTTTTATGTTTTGGTTTTTTTCTGTTTTGTTTTAATCAGCTATCAGTGCCCTGATTTGTAATGAGATACATATATTACTTAAATTATGTGCATGTGCTGCTGAAAGTAACTGCAACGAGTATTATTGGTGCTGTATTCTATGTTATATCACCAATGTCCAGGAATACATTTTTAATTGTAAAAACACATCACGGGGGGTGGGATAGAAAATTACTGTCGTTTGAGCATTTCAAAGATGCTTTTTTTCCTTACAAAGAATGAAACAGTTTTCCAATTTTACAAACTTAATAAAGTAAGCCAAGTACAACTTTTCCCTGTAGGTCTGAAATACTTCTATCCATTAGCATTTACATTAAAAAATATCATCTGAAGTCCTTGACACAAAATATAAGTTGTAGTTTCAAAAACTCTCTGACACTTGTGTTCATGGTTGAAACATCAGTCAGAATGCTGCACTAAATAATCTTTAGGGCCTCTTCTAACTCTCAAGAGTGTAGGGCTTTAAGATTTTTAGGTGCTGAAGTTCAAGAAATTAAGATTACCGGGTTATATTGGGAACGTATTTTGATTGAGCTACTCACTAGAGTGCACTGACTCGGTGAACAATTAGTTTAACCAAAGGCTTAGTCATGGACATTAGCTGGTTTGGCTGAAATGGAACAATTTGGCTGATTATTTTGTTGTCATCTTGGCACAATCAGAAATAGCTTCCTCCACATCCATCCTACTCTCTCAGTGGTCCTCCACATGTACACAAAATTCTAAGCACATTGGCATCCTAGTCATTTCTTCACAAACAGGGGCTGCGTTTTTCTATTCCACTGTCTTTCCTGTTGTCTTTCTGGCACCTGGAATGCCCTCCTCTTCTAGGATTCCCTATTCCTCCATCTCTGCCTGTCAAAATCTTAGCCCAACTTTAGCACGTCTTTCTGAATGCCAGACAAGCAAGCCCAGAACGCCACCTGAAAATGGTCTTTCTCTTCTCTGAAATCCCAGAGAAGTTTCTACCTCTTTTATTCTACTTTCCACAGTTTTATACAAATCTTTTGTATATATTTATTGTTTTGCTTGATTGTAAACTCTGCTTTATAGCTGCCCTCAACAAGCCCTGTGCTTTATTTAAACGTCAGTTCTCTATTTCCAAGGGCTTGGGCATTTCTGATCGGCTCGCCCCTGAGGCTGACTATGGCATAAACTGAAGTCATCTTGAATCCCAAGTTGTCTTGCATTTTCTGCTTCTCTTGGTAGAATTAGCAGTCCTTAGGCAGGAATTGTAATGTCGTCTTGACTTTTTCCTTCTCTCTTCCTGTGGGATCTGCCTACACAGTGCTTCTTCCGTCCATTCTTCCCTCCCTCTTCCCACTGCTGTTTTCCTAATTTAGCTTCCAGTCGCCTCAGCATACATGATTTCCATGGCCTCTCTTCTTTTATCCTCTCTTTGATCCTTACCTTCACCCATCCCTCTTGTGCACTATGGTCCTATTAGTTGTCCTAGGACCGCTCTGATAATGTCACTCCTTCATCAAGAATCTTCACTGGAGCTCCAAGGCCCCCGAATGACAACCCAAAGTCTTTATCTTGGCTTCTAGTACACTCCACAGAATGTAGGTCCCCTACCTTTTCAGCCACACGCATGGATTACTCTTCATCTGCACAGACTTGAGCCAAGTGAACTTTCTGCTTCCTGAAGGCACTGATGGTCTTGGCCCTGGGTCTTTGCTTCCTCTCTGCTTTCGCTGGCTCGGTCTGTCTCAGTCTGATACTCTGGGCCTGTGAACTCCAACAGCACTTTCTCTCTGGCATCTCTATATCTTGTACTGTTAACACTGATTAGTAAATCTTTGAAAAAGAAGAAATTTTCCTCATCCATCTTTGGACCCAGCCCAGCTCCAGCTTCCCCTCTCCCAAACAAGGTTTAGCATAGAATCTTGGCTATAGAGGGTGTTCAACAAATGTTTGTTGAATTAATTAATTAACAACAAAATTAATAATTACATAGGTACCACTGAGCTTTTATCATCCTTTTTTTAAAAAAACAAACTAGGAAATGAGAAAAGACTAAAGAAAGATTAAGTAAAACTATTTAAAGAGAATACACTCTTTGAAGTGTAGTTATGTGCAAGAAATTTTATTTAAAATGGATTTGCTAAAAGAGTGATTTGAAATATTGATGAAAGTGAGGTAGAACAGCCACAACCTGTTAAAAATGGAAAAAATAAAATGTGCTTGCACGTCTTGGGATGATAAAGCATAGTAATAGTTTTATTTTTGGAAACTGGTAGAAAAGATATGCCAAAAGTCTTTTCCCTTCAGACATTTTCTTTTCTAAACCCCGGGGCTTTGTCATATCTCCAAGTCTCTGCTCATGTTCTCTACGTGGCACGTCCTTCCCATTTCCAATCTGATGCAAGTTCCTTCGGGATCCAGCTCAAAAAACATTTCTTCTCAAAAGTCTGCTCATCAAATCCCAGGCAGAATTCAATTTTTTCCTAATTGACTGGCCTTTTGAAACGTGGAAAATATCCCTACAGTAGCACATCTCATATATAACTTTGTAATTCTGTTTCCAGGTCTGCCTTCAGCAGTAAAGTTTAAGCTTGTTGAGAGACCATTATGTCCCCGGGACTTAGCCCTGCACTTGAAGCATAGTAGACACTCAAATATTTGCTGAAGTAATTAATGAATGAATATGAGTAACGTAGTAATATTGGGGAATTTACTTGCTTCACAAAAATGAGAAACCTATTCTGAGCATCCGATTCAGAGAAAGAGAAGGAGAAGAAAACTTGTCTATTTCCTTCTTTTTTTTAACCACTGGGAAAGTTCATCCTGAGTCTCATTCTATCCATGAAGGACTGGGTTGGCACTGCACACACCGGGAACTGTAAGGTTGACAGAGCTGGATCAGACACATGCAAGCTGAAATTCCATCTCGTCTAATCGCTGTCTTTGCGTCTTCAGACACGTGACTTACTCTTTCTCTACCTTATTTCTTCTTCTCTAAATAAGAAATAAAGAGGAAATAGTATACTATCTATTCTCATTATTTACGAGATATAGTTATATTCTGTAAAGTTGCAGCAAACACTGAATTAACAAATATTGAACCATTTACTCCCAGGGAAAAAACAGGATGAGTTTCCTGTGAGAATCTGTTCATACCATTGTCATCAACCAATAATACATGGCCCTGTTTTATGTGTGTTAAAAGACACCTCAGTTAATGTATATTGTTAATCATTAACATTGAACTCACAGCCTGTAGACTATAGCTCATGCATGAAGACAGTTTATCTCTGTAAGGCACATCACAGCCTTCTTGAGCTTAGGAATACTAGGTAGTGCTTCAGCACTATGGTGGGGGCCATTTTAAACAGTGAAATTACCAACAAAATGCAGAAAAAATATGAAAAGACTGGGCATTAAATAGACCGTGAGGGGCTGGCCCCATGGCATAGCGGCTAAGTGCACGCACTCCGCTACTGGCGGCCCGGGTTCAGATCCCAGGCGTGCACTGATGCACTGCTTGTCAGGCCATGCTGTGGCGGCGTCCCACGTAAAGTGGAGGAAGATGGGCATGGATGTTAGCCCAGGGCCAATATTTCTCAGCAAAAAGAGGAGGATTGGCATCGGATGTTAGTTCAGGGCTGATCTTCCTCACAAAATAAATAAATAAATAAATAAATAAATAAACAAACAGACCATGAAAAGGATACTTGTTTACAGTATATGGGCTGAAAAAAAAGTCAGAGCATTGCCATGTTCAGCCTCATCTGGGTATGTGCGCATTAGGTGACTCACAACTTTTACCACACGGCACGTGTCCGTGAATAACCGTGAAAGTGCTGTAAGTTTTGCTTTGGGAGGTTATAAATAAATTTTAGTGAGTGGTTGAATTTGCAAATACGGAATCCACAAATAATGAAGATCGATGGTAACTATTTTCCAGGATTGTTGTGAGGCTTAGAAATAATACAGGTTAAATACATAATAATCCATATATAGTAATATTTGTGAATTATCCGGCACATAGTAGGTACTTTGTAATGCTGTTATTGCTGGTATTGTAACTCT